TATCCCATTTTTGAATCCTAAAATAAAAATTATTTAGTTTTATTTTCATAAGATAATACGCTTGGTGATGTTTGTTTATTACTTGCATCTTTACATTGTTACAATGTGAAACTTGCTTCAGAATGCTTACAAATATCCTCCACATTTTCCTTCAATCAGAAATAATCTTCAACAAATTTAAGGTGTTTGCTATTGATCAAAGCTGCACCAGAACCTATTTAAAAAAATGCTTTATAATATTTATATATATTATTTTTATAAGCATTCTGAAGAAAGTTTCACATTGTAACAATGCCAAGATGTAAGTAATAAACAAATCTCACCTAGAGTATTATAACCATGAAAATAAAACTATATAATAATTTTTATTTTAGATTCATAATGTGCCAACCAGGAATAGTATTATTACAATTATTATTTCAATTATACTACAAGTCATAAGTCAAATTTTATCGTTTATTATACTATTTATAAATTTACATTTTACCACAATTTTTAATTTTATTTTCTCGCATAAAAAACAATTATCCAAATTTATTTTTTACAATTTTTTAATTATTTTATAAAAATCGATAATAAACATAATAATAATTTTTCGATATAATAAACAAAATAAATCGATACAATTATAAACATATGATATTATAATAAAATAATACCGAACACCTCCCTTATTTTTCAGAGATGTTCCCAGGCTTATTTTACACATTCATATATAATTTATTTGAAATATTCATATTACTAATTAATGATTTTGCATAATTTGGCTTATTAATTGCCATTTCAGCAAATCTCGAACTTCTTCCGTATCCATTATTGTATTGGGCTTATAATAAACATATCTATACGCCTCAGGAACTTTTCTAAGATTCATAATTTTTTGTTGATCAATTGGCATCGGCGCTTTCCTTACCATCATTAAGGGAGTAGATTGAGCAGCTTGTGTTGTTCCGTGTATTGCCGAAGGATGATAGATGGTTGATTTCCATTTGTTTTGATTGCTTGTACAACTAGTCGCCTTATGACCATTTCCCCCACAAGAATAGTAAGTTAGACGAATGTGTTTTGATTGTTGGGATCCAAACATCTTTTGAGAATTGGTATTAGCGAAGAAATGACCTCTCTCATGCTTAACTTACTGGCAATTTGATCCTTAAGTTCAGACCATGCTTTAGCCCGCGAGCTTTCCATGGGAGCCGCATTGATCTGTAACATAGTATTTGGCATTCGTAAATATTAAGTCTCCATGATAATTTAATATCTCTTTTTCAAAAATAATTTCTTTAATTTTAACGCTAATTTAAAAAAATACAAAATTTTATTTTTCACAAAATCAAATTTTTACTCTCATTAATAATATCGATAAAATCTCATTATGTTTCTTTTAAATTATTTACAATTTTTACTTTTATACCTATTCTAATTCAATTTAAATAACTTTCACATTACCCCCCCCCCCCCCCCCTTCTATTTATTATTTTGATACAACCTTATTTTATTCATTTGATCCTTTAAACCATTTTTTATTTTATTTACAACTAATTAATAAACTTTCTTATATATTTTTTTAGGCTACATGTTCTTATTTTACTATTTCATCATAAATTTAATTTTAACAATTTTATAATTTATCCCCTTCGATAAAACACATAATTTAATGTATTGCTTTCCTTTTTACTTTACCTTTCTCCCTTTCACATTTTATTATTATACCAACTTATTTTTTCTTATCTATTCTCTTATCTAGCCTATTTATTGCCTTTTAATTATGGTTTTATTATCATTTAAATGATTTGTAAGCTTTCATTGTCAATTCCATTAAGTGATAAGCATCATCTCTAACAAATCATATGGACTATATTTCTGTTGAAGGTAAAAAATTTGGATTGGGTAACTTGATGATTTTATTTATCATTCCTTCATAAAATAGGCTCTTTGTATAGATGCTTCTATCTGAGATAGACCCATGAAAGCTAACCTCAATTAACATGAAACTAGAAAAGAATTAACGTAGAAAATATATAATAACCTTGCTCTGTCATCTGAAACAGCTTGAATCGCGATGGAAATATATTTTTTATTTTTTTAAAAAAAATGAGAGGATCCATTTTTATTAGAATGTTTAATTTTACATGCTTTCCATCAATAGCACCTATTATTTGGCGAAAACCTGATTTCCTGAAGTATTCTGCTGATGTTATTTTTTTTTGTTTGTTTAATAAATATAGAAGTAATTTTAATCTCATTAAAAATGATAGAAGGAAGATACTAAAGGACAAAAGCAATTAAATAAACAAAATATCTAAAATAGGTTTTACTATTATTATCATGAGACTTGATATGGTTATAGCTTTAATACTTTTATATAATGTTGTTAAACGACTCGATTTGAACCTATTTTAAAAAAAGGCTAACTCAATATTTTATCCAGAAAAATATTACGCAAGCCTAAAGGTTTTGGTCATAGATGGCATAAAGATTTGGACATCTATTAGAAAAATCTCGAGATTTGGGCAACATATTTCGGCCTAAAATAATTAGTTCATTGTTTTAAAAATTAGGCTCATATCGAGGCGTTTAACACTACTTTTATATTTAAGGTAGTCAAATAGACTTGTGGCATATCTGTGCTTAACATTAGTTGAAATAGGACTAAATTAATGATTGTTTCTTCATAATGAAATTGACAAAGTAGATTTTTCTAACAAGTATTTTGAAGGATAATTTAAAATCTATTTAAAAAATAATTTAGATCAAAAAATAGTTGTTTTTTAAATTTTAAGCATTTATATTATCAATTTAGTAAATTAAATTAAAAAATTTTTTAAAAAATTTCCTTTTTTTAAGGGCTACGTCACTGAGCCGTGTATATAAGCTCCAAATTTGTAAGAATGTAATATGTTTCCGAATACTATCAAATATTTTAAAAAGTCCTTGATCTCTAGAATGAATATATATAATATTTTAATTATATATACCAACCTTCCAAAAGTCTATGCCTTTTTCTACGTTATTTATGTCTTCAAATAATATAAAATAAGAATTAGTAAATCATTCACATCAAACATTTTCAAAATTTAATAGAAAATTTGGGACATGTTTCGTATCTCTCAAAATTCATGAAAAATTCGTTAAATTTTTTTTTAAATTCAGGACACAGCCTAATTAAGATCATGCATCTTCCCGATTTCTTCCCACTTAATCCTGCTTGCTGCTGTATATCTATACTTTCGCGATTGCACTATAGAAATCTATATTCTGATATTTCCATGAGATAATATTCACTTGTCAATTTTCTTGCAAAAATTACACAAATTGCAAAATTTTAGTGATTAAAAAATCACGAAACTTTCGCTAATTAGAAAATATTATATAGGTCAATATTTTAATTACATTAATGGCTTATATTTTTTCCCGCGCAAATTGCGCGATTTAATTATTTTATATTTAGGACATACCCTTATAAGAAATTCTATAAATTTTTTTAACATAATTTTTAATATATTATTATTTGTTTTTTAAAAATTTTATTTTGATCTTTTTTAAATAAAATTTTTAAAAAAGAAGATAATTTTTTTAAAAAATAAGATAACAAAATTTGACTAATGAACAACTTATAATATAATTGTAAAAAACGAAAAATTTGTAACAAAGTAATGATTTTCATAATGAATAATGAATATAATGTTAATTAAAAAACAGGAAAAAACATTTGTCATTTTTGTTTGTTCTTTTTACCCCTCCCCCCTCCCATCCAAAAAAAATTTCAATTAAGGCACATAGAGAATTTATAATTTGTTGTCCTATTCTAAGGTGAAAAAAATTCTGGAAAATTTGAGGCAAAAATGTTTTTATTATGTAAAATAATATATATTAAATTCGTTCATATTTTATAATGCTGTACTTTTTGAAAATAACTATTCATAGTTACTGGTTACTTAAAAGATAATCAAAAGTTACTTTATAAAATTTTATTCATTTTAACTATAATTTTGTTATTATATTAAAATTTAATCGAAGGAATTTAAAATCAAGAAATGATTGCATTGAAAACAATATACCACATTAATATTTGCATAAAATATCAATATATAATATATATTTGCACCGAAAAATATATTAATAAAATAACACAATAATTATTTATATTTTATAAAAATTTGAACTTAATAAGTTATGTGCTTGTTTTTTTCCATGACAGTTCCTAGACTAAATAAACGTTCTATAGATGCGTTTTATATAGGGTAGTGATGTATAGCGTTGAACCTTATTGATTTTTTTGTGTTTTATTGAATATTAGATAGTGTCGTAATTTCATCCTTATATATAAAAAAATATTTTTCATATAGCATCTGTATCTTAGTCAGTTGAGTGCTTGTATCACTAATCCGATAGTTGTTCTAATGCAAGGACCATATATTTTTTTTAAAGTCTAGGGGGATGATATATAGAATATTGGAGTTACGCAGTTCTATATTAAAAAATAAGTGGGGTTTTTCTTGCATAATTGAATTTGCAATGTCATATATTATTACACTTATGTAAATGCGACATTTTATTTAATAAATAGTGATTTTAAATGTGGGAATTTATCAAATAAAGATAATAAATGATATATGTATTATTCAACATATTTTGAATACATTGTAAGAAATGTAACTAGTTAAAACAGTTATTTTTTCGCAAAAATCATAACTAATATTTTCAAATCGGTTTCTATAAAAATTTAACAATAATTAAAAATGCTTTATGTTAATTTTTTTGGGCCTAAATTTTTTTGGGCACCTGGAAATTTTGGAAAGAGCACCCTAGATTTTTTTTATTTATCTCTTTTGATATTTTATTATTACGGTTCGGAAAATTATAACAGTTTTGCTAGTCAGCTTGGTTCGACATGCTGTTTATATTGTAATTTTCTAAGTAAATTGAGAGATAAAAAGAAATATAGAACTTTAACCTCTAAACTTATAGCAAAATATTTTTTCACACATTTATATAAGGTATATCGACATCCGATATAGTAGCCCAAATAGTGAGGGACTACGACGTTTACGCCCGACGTAATTTAGCCAGAGGGTATACTGCCAAGCAATTGAACGTGGGGTTTTTAAAGGTAAAACATTTTTTTAAAATTACATCTTATATACGATAAATGTTGTTTTATTTTTTGCATCTTTTAATTAATATTTTAATTTAATTAAGCTATATATAAATTACTATTAGATAGCCCCTCAAAAATAACGGCAAATGAGAATTTTCTACTTACTTTTATGATAGTTGTTACCTGTTATTTGAAAATAATATCCAATTTTTATTCTTTTTATCCCCTCCCCCCTTCAGGCAAGGTTCAATCCATTAAAACTAAGTGTAAATACTATATTATGAGTCAAAATATATTTAGAGCTTTTACTTGATATTATCAATATTATTTGTTAAATATTTCTGATCATATACCTATGTCTAATATTTAATATTATAAAAAAATTCCCAAGCAAGGTACAAAGCCATAATAATTTTGAAAAAATTCTTCCAAGCCCAATGAAAGATCATAATAATTTTGGTAGTTGAGAACTGAATAAAATATTTAAAAAATCATAATGAATTTAAAAATACAATAAAAATCAGATTTTCATGGGCCTTGGTTTTTTGATCAGGCTGAGCCCAGGCCTGCAAAAAAATTTGTTTTAGGCCAATGTCTGACCCATAGTTAATAATAAAAAGATTCCCAAGCGTCCAAGCTGATAATAATTTTGAAAAATTTTTCCCAAGCCAATATAATTTATAAAAATATTTTCCAAGCCCTGCCAAACCCATAATAGTTTTATAAAAAAAAAATTTCTCAAGCCTGGTCAACCCATAGTAATTTTCAAAATTTTTTCCCGCCTGGAGTTAGGTAAATCTCTAAAAACCATATCTTTTTTTTATTCTTTTTAATTCCGCTCACCCCTACTTCAGACCAAGGCCAACCCATTTAGACTAAGAGTGAATATTATTTTTTTGAGTTAATATATATTTAAATTAGCTTTTACATGAGACCATATAAATATTCTATGTTAAATATTACACCTATGCTTAATATCTTAAATTAAAAAAATTCCCAAGCTCCACGCACTTGGGAAAATTTTCTCAAACCCAAATACCATAATAATTTTGGTAGTTGAGAGAAATAAAATATTTAAAAAGTCATAATGCATTTAAAATACAATCTGAATTTGAAAGTTGCATGGGCCTTGGTTTTTTGATCAGGCCTAGCCATTTCTTCAAAAAAAATTTTCAGGTCAATGTCTAGCCTATAATTAAAATTAAAAAATTTTCAAGCATCTAAGACCATAATAATTTTGAAAACTTTTCCCAAGCCAGGTAGGTCCAAGCCTATATTGTGAAAAATATTTCCCAAGCCCAGCAAAACCCATAATTTATTTTTTCCTTGGATCCATAAAAATAGGTCCGATGTAAGGGGTTTATAAAAATCATTTTTTTTGCCATTTTATATTATTTGGGAAATTTTTCAAATAATTTATCATCAAATGAAGAAGAAATATCTGATTTACTTATCATTCATTCTACTGGTCTTGGTATTTATATGAAATTCATGAATACATATCGTAAAAATCAGTGAAAATATGTTCATCCTTATTTAAATTTTAAACAAACCACCACCCCTCCAAATTTATTACTTAGGTACAAAATATAAAATTAAATTTAAGACAATGTTATTAAATTATAATAGAAAAAATTAAATGATATTCTAAGAAACCAATATTAGGAGGTTAACTTCACTCATAATCAATTACATATAAGTAAAACAAAGAAGTTTTAAATATAATTAAAAATCTTATAAGTTATATATGAATAACTTACATTCAACAATTATGAAGTGATGAGAAAATATACAAAACTATGGAATGCATGTATAAAGGCCAAATCTTTAGAAAAGATTAGAGAGGTATTCAGTTGAAAGTTGCATACATTACATGGAATATACTATACGATAGCCAATATGATAATAAATGGCAAAATTTTAAAAATATCAGCTATGCTAAGGGCAATTGATTTGTATTAAATAAACTAAAATCTGCTTCCATGATAACAATTCCATTGTTTTACCAAGTTGCAAAATTACAGACCTATTATATTTCATAAAAGTGATAATTCATAAAGCTTGGTTTTTAATTTTATTCATCCATCATCAAATTAAGGAGAAAATTCTAATAATTCAATTATTTAAATCTTTCCTTAAGGGTTTTTAATAATGGAAGGCATAAAGCACTTCTTGTTTAATTGTTCTCCAGAGTTTTGAGTAAGTTTGCATCTTCTCATGACATGGATCCATTCCAATGAGATCTTTATTGTAAGAAAATATATTTGATAATTTAAACATTGATACTATTAAAATTTAAATATTAACCCTCTGATGAAATGGCTAGTATATTTTTTAATTTGATAGATTTTCATTTATTGATAATTTATCTAAATCTGAGGCATCTTGACCTTGAGTATACAATGTGAAATTTTATTAAAATAAAATCATATGTAACATAAATTACCAATATCTTTAACGTCTTCTTGTGAGGTGTCTTTGGGTATTATAAAAAATCATCATTAAAAATATATAATCCATGATAGAAATTGCAATTGGCTTAACATTTGCATGATGATTTTTATTGGACGAATATTTTTTAAAAGAATACTATTTGTTAAATTTGTTGTGGCCAGGCTTTTATATATATTATTGATACTAAAAAAATATTTTTAAATATTCTAAAAGAAAGTAGCGCAAAATGAAACGATATAAGGTAAGTATAATGTAGGTATGTAAAAAATAACATGTTTTAAACTAAAAAATATTTAAAAAAATCAACATAATAATGAAAAAACAATAGAAAATTATTTTATAGAATAGAATAATTTTTTTATACAGTAGAAAAATTAAAAAAAATTTGAATAAATAAAAAAACAATGCCATTAACATTGATTAGACAATGGAATTTTGTTTAAAATCTGGCTATTATTCTGCTTATTAATATAATATATATGCTTCTTCATAATTTTAATCCATCTATGTTAAAATATAAGAACATAAAATTAAAATAGGTAGAGGATTATTATATACAAAGAATATAAAATATGTAAAAAAAAATTTTTAAAGTTAGGTTAGTTCCTTTAGGAAGGAGGCTTTCAATAAAACTGATTTAATTCTATTTATGAATGGAAATGGAAAGTTTTTGCCAATGATTATACGGATAAGAGAACCGAGTTCCTTGAAGAAGGTTAAAACGCGGCTACCAAATCTGGTTAATATAGAGGAGATTATAGGTATAAAAATTCATTGGAGATTTCCGAATATTCATTAATTTTGGATAGTTCTTTGATGTCCTAGATATTTGTGCTAAAAAAACTAGGGGATCTCTACAGGAATAGTCCCAAACTAAAATTGGCCTCTCTTCCAAGGAATTCGGTAATGCCAACTGAACGTTTTCCATCAGATCTAAAAAGACCAATGGGTTCTAGAATCTATGGAATCTGCGTAGCTTTAAGTGCACGTTGAATAATGACATTACAATGATTATGTCTGGGAATACGTTCTTTGCATGAACGTCACTGCAGCAGGAACATTACACACAGAGCAAAGGTAAGGCTAGGTAATCGAGCATTGAAAAGGATTCCAATGGAATGAGTGAGTTCATTTTTGATGAGTTGTAATTGAAGATTAACAGAAGGGATAGAGGAACTTGTGCCCAGAGCCATTTAGCAATAATGAAAAGAGAGGATGATTGAGTTGCATATTTGATGGTTTCGACGCAGCAGGCAACAACCGGGATGTCCCATTCGCATTCCTTTTGTTTACAAGTAGCTAGTAAAGGGGTGTCAACAAGAATTCGAAATCTCCATAGTTCTAATCCTCGACGAATAGTCCACAGGAGAGCGAGCGATAACAGTAGGTTTTGTTAATAAGCAACTTGAGATAAAAGTTGTTAAAGCTAAATCAGAAGGAGATCTGATGCCATAATGTAATAATTTTGAACATATCTCCATGTTAATTTTATGTCGGCCACATTGTCGGTAACCACAGCTGTTATTTTGTTTGGAACTTCTAACAATTTTTTATCAATAAACTCTCCTGTATGAAATTACTAGTACATGAAAACAATGGGTCTTACAATTAGCAATGCTCGAAATCGTAAAAAGTGGACCAAGGGGATCAGGGGAAACTGGATTACCTTGGAAAACTTGGACCACCAATAAATGATAAAGAAGACGATTTTTAGATTTATGTAAAATAGGTTTAGGTATTGTGATAACAAATTATCATAGAATTACCTCGAATGTTTCTCCACCCGTTAGTAATAACACATTTGATTCCACATTAGAAGTGTATGTGGTTATTAGGTTTTTAAATTTTAATTGAATTCAATATAGATTTAGAAATTTCTTACCTTGATGGGGCATATTTGCTCTTTAGGATATTAAATGGAATATTTTATGCATATATCCTGCGTACAAGATGATGACTTTTTATACTCATGATATCGACGAATTTTACTAGATTTTCTTTCCTAAATTTATATGATGATGACTAATAGGAGGAAAAAGAATCAATTGATGTTGATGTTAGAAGTAAAATATTATCATTTTCTGTTCGAGAATTTATCATTCTTACACAGTTTATATTTTACACTATTGAGATAAATTTTTATTTTTCAAATGGATTTTTTTTTATTTAGGAAAAGAAATATCAAATTCAAAATAAGGTGGACAAAGTAAAGGACAAGGGTAAACAGTTCGTTAACAAATTTGAAGCCAAGAGAACCGAGTTGGTCACTATATGGGAAGCTAAGTCTCGCGAATTCATAGCCAGCTTTTTGGACCTATTTGGAAAGGATGGAGCATTGGTTTAATTTTTAAATATTATTTTTTCTTTCTCTCATTTTTTCGCTTTTTATTTTTTCTCCATTTTTCCATTCTTTCTTCCATTATTGTAATTAGTTTCTCCATTTTTTCTCATTTTGACATTTTGTTTAAATATTGGAATCGGTTTTATTGTTAAAAGCTTTTTAATGCTAAAAACTTACAAATTCCTAAAATCAAGATATCTTATTGGAAAATAATTTCCTTGATATTTATCAACGAATATCTAGCTAAAATGGCAAGAAATGTAGATTCAAAATTACTTAAAATTAAACTTTCTTTGAATCTTAGTATTGAGGATATATAAATTAGAGATCTGCAATAGGCCGGGCCTATTTTTTAAAAAAAAAAATTGGGTTCGGATTGGTTCGGGCCTTATATTTTTTAAGAAAATTCGGGCCGGGTCGGTCCTTAATTTTTTTTTAAAATATATCTAAATTTATCAATTTTATATTGAATTTTTATGTAAAATAAAAATATTTTATTTTATTTATAGAAACTAGACCCCATATAACATATATCGCAGAGACCTGCAGACCCGGCTCGGGCAGGGCCAGGCTGTATTTTTTATAAATATACCCGGGCTGGGCTAGGCCTAAAAAATTTTTTAAACATATGCCGGGCCTAAAAGATTTTGTTAAAATATACCCGGGCCGGGCCTTAATATTTTTTATAAAAATTTTTACATTATGAGTTAATGGTTATAAGATTATATTATATTATAGTTATGATTAATATAATATTGGGTGATGGTTAACACTACCTAACACCCACAAATCGATCTAATTATTAATTTACTGCAAATTTATTCAAAGTATTAATATATTTTTTTATAATTCATATCTAAATTTTTACAACATATTTTACCAAAACAATCAAATAAAGGAATATCTTAAATAAGCCCCAATATTCAAATATTATTAATATATTTTTTTATAATTCATATCTAAATTTTTAGAATATATTTTACCAAAACAATCAAATAAAGGAATATCACTTCTTAAAGTTTGTAATATTTTTCAAAGCGAAAAAGGAGAAATAAAATTGATTTTACTTAATATAAAGCATTTTTTAATTGAAAAATTTGTTTTACACAAGTATCATTTTATTTCTCTTTTTCTCTGTCCCAAATTCAAGCAATTACGTATGTAATCAGGGACAGATAGCAAAATGACGGAAAACTATATAAAAGATTATATTAAATTACAAGAGGCTCAGGAAGTAAATGAAATACCATCGACCAGTCAAATTACGACTGTTGTTAAACAAACTGAATCGTTTTATGACAAATGGGGCGAAATTCTGGTAATATGTCAATACCCGATGATGAATATTATAATTACATAAATAATAGATAAAACATTTAAGGTGGATAATTTGTTAGAGTGGTGGGCGGCTCATCAAAGCGAATTTCCAATTTCAGCAAAATTGGCAATTCCTGCTATAAGTGTAAGCAGTGAGCGGAATTTTTCCACTACTGGGAGAATTCTTGAAGAAAGAAGAAGTAATCTTCAACCTGAAAAGGTAGATATGCTTCTCTTTCTTCATGATAATTTGTGAATTTTTAATATCTTTCTTGAGTATAGGGTTTTGTCAATCATGCTGGTTTTTTACTTTGCAAACTGTCAAATATTTATTGCATTTATTATATTTACCTTGAGTCATGAAAGTTTTTAAACCAACATTTTTCATTATTTTTTTTTACAATATTATATAATACAATTATCTTCTTTTGTTAAAAATTTATATTATAAAATAAATTATATTAATATTGTGCAATTAGATTATATTTTCAAAATACTATTTATTATACATGCATTTTTTTAAATAGCGATTTATTTTTATTTTATAAATTAAATAGTAAATTAAATACAATATATTATATTCTCAAAATATTTTCCATTTTTATAAATTTTTTTTTTTTCTCTTTAGCTTTCACCTTTTCTGGTGGTAAGCTCCTTCAACATCTCTCTCCACTTTATGTTATTCATACAATCTCTTTTATCTATTTTATACTTCTTTATATTGGCTCTAACTTTATGGCCCCATTGAAGTTTTGGCCTTCCTCTTTTACGTTTGCCCATCACTTCCAAACTTTCAACTTTATTTCCTATGTAGTTCATAGGCCTTCTCATTGTGTGCCCATACCACCTAAGTCTGTTTACCATTAACTTAGTCTTAATGGGCACTACCTTTAAACTATTTAGTATTCTTGTACTGCGCACCTTATCCTTTCTTGTTACCCCAGCAATCATCCTCAGCATTCTCATCTCCATAGTTTGTAGACTTCTCTCGTCTGATTCTTTGGTTGGCCATGTTTCCGAACTATATAGAATAGTTGGTTGTACTATGGAACTGTAGATTTTTCCCTTTAATTTGTGTGGGATTCTTTTGTCAAATAGCACTCCAGATAAAGATCTCCACTTTAACCACCCTTGATTAATCTTATTCTTTATCTCTTTTTCTATCGTGCCGTTTGTTTGTATAGTGGAGCCCAAATATTTGCAGCTTTCAATTGCGGATATCTGCCAATCATTTATATCAATACTCTCCGTTTCATCTCCTCCTATCACCATATACTCCGTCTTTTCTCTATTTACTTTTAATCCGTGCATTTCTAGGATATTTATCCAATTCACTAACCTTTCTTTCATTTCATTCTTGGATTCGGCAAGTATCACAATATCATCTGCAAATATCATATTCCACGGGACTGTTTGAGGTATAGACTGTGCTAATACATCTATTACTGTAATGAAGAGTAGTGGGCTGAGAGCCGACCCTTGATGAACTCCTTCGGCTATTGTGAAGCCTGCTGAAGTACCTGTTGTGCTACGGACCATTGTTGTATGTCCCATATACATATCCTGTATTATTCTTATATATTTTTCGGGAACTTATTTGTGGCGTAGCGCCCACCAGATAAGTTTTCTTGGGATTCTATCGAAGGCCTTTTCTAGATCGAGAAAGACCATGTGTAGCTTTTTGTTCTTTTCCCTGTATTTTTCACTCATTTGCCTAATTGCATGGATAGCATCGGTTGTTGATCTTCCAGGCATAAAGCCAAACTGTGTCTCTCCTATTTCGATTATATCTCTTAATCTTTTTTCTATTATTTTTTCGTATAGTTTTAGACAGTGTGACATTAGTTTTATGCCCCTGTAATTTTGACAATTGTGTGGATCCCCTTTATTTTTGAAGATAGGAACTAGATAGCTCTGCCTCCATTTTTGGGGAACCTCTTCATTTCCAAGTATTTTATTGTACAGATTTGTGAGGAGATGTATTCCATCATCTCCTAGTGTTTTAAGGCTTTCTATTGGAATATCGTCTGGACCCCTAGCTTTGTTGTTTTTCATATGCTTGAGGCATGTGATTATTTCTTGTTCTGTTATAGGTTGTACAAGGTTTTGACAAGGGGAGTGTTCATCGAGATGCAATATGTGGGAATTAAAGTTGAGAAGCTCTTGAAAATATTCTTTCCATCTATTCATTATTTCTTTTTCCTTTATTATCAATTTCCCATCTTTATTTTTGATTACTTTCGGAGCTCCGTTTATATCCCTAGAGTTCTTTTCTCGCTGTTTGGCTAATCTGTATATTTTATTTTGCCCTTCTTTGGTATGTAGATCTTCGTACATGTCATCGTATGCAATAGATTTGGCCCTAGCCACCGCCTTTGTAGCTAATCTCTTGGATTTTTTGTATCTTGACTTGTCATCTGCATTTTTGGATTTGTACCATATTTTATAAAGGGCTTTTTTCTCCTGTATAGTGGTTTGTACCTCTTGTTTCCACCACCATAGTTCTTTTTGTGATTTGTTGCCTCCTCTTGTCAAGCCTAGCGTAGATTTTGCAGTGTCTATTAATCTGGATGAAAGGTCTGTCCAGATTTTTTCACTGACTTGTGAGCAATTTATTGTTTCAATGTTTGCATTGATTGCAAAGGCATCTGTCATTGTTTTTAATTTGCCCCATTTGATGCATGGTTCCAGTTTTATCTTATTTTGAGTGGATTTTTTGAGATTTGTAAATCCATGATTAGTAGCTTGTGTTGCGCGGCGATATCTTCTCCTGGGATGACTTTGCAGTCTATTACATCTTTTAATCTTCTGCGAGAGATTAGCATGTAATCTATCTGTGTTTTCATAGTACCACTTTCATATGTTATTAAATGACTGTCTTTTTTCCTATAGTAGGTGTTGGTTAAGGCAAGGTCGAAGGCTTGCGCAAATTTCAGTATGTGCTCTCCTTCATCGTTTCTTTCTCCGTATCCAAAACCACCATGATGCCTTTTGTAGCTATCTCTTGCTTTCCCCACATGCGCATTTAAGTCACCACCAATTATGACTAGGTCATCCTTAGGGATTTCCATTACAGCTTCATCAAGGATAGCTCTAAAGTCATCTTTCTCTTCTTCCTTGCAACCCGTTTGAGGAGCATATACTGATAGGATGTGTAGTATTGATTGACCAATGCAGAGTTTTATCTTCATTAGTCTATCAGAGATCCTGTTGACTTCTACTACTGAAGAGGTTAGGTCTTGGCTGAGGATGATGCCGACACCGTTCCTATTGCTAACAAGTCCATTATAGTACAATTTATACCCATCTCCAATCATCAAAGTTTTCTGTCCTTTCCATTTCGTCTCTTGTATGCACGCTATATCAACTTTTCTCTTGTTCAACATTGATGCCAATTCTCTCGTCTTACCTTTAAGCGTCCCAATATTCAAACTTGCCAGTTTGACTTTTACTTTATTTTTCACAGGATGGAGGTCTACACCCTGCGCGTCGCATGGAGGGAACGCTCTAGCTTTCATATTCATATTTTCATTTGTGTACTTCATTTTGTTTATTTGGACAGGTATCCTTAGCACCCGGCTGTCCAGGCCTGTCGGTGACCGGGGTGTCATCTCTAAGCTCCGAAATTCATCATATCATATGTCTTTATACATCAGTCATCGAAGAAAAACTTAAAAGTTTTTATGGTTCTTACCAGGATTGAACCCGCGTCCTTGTTCATACTCGTGTTTCCAAGCCTACATCTTTACTTTTTTTAAATGTAATATAAAATATAGTATATGACAAATATTATTACCATTTTTATGATATTAGTTTTATTTTTATAAATGCAATATAAAATATAGTATATGCTCAAAATATCAATTTTTATAAATAACAGTTTTATAATTTTTATATATTCAATATAATAATCTCAAAATATTAACTTTTTACATGTATTTTTTAAATAATAAGCGATAATACTCGCTGAAAAATATGGTAAAATACCTCATAGGTGAATTTTTGTATATACCAGGTCGAATATAATTTTAAAAAATTCCGAGCCGGGCCTGAAATTTTTTTAAAAAATATCCGGGCCGGGCCTTAAATTTTTAAATCCGGGCCGGGCCGTAAAAATTTTTTTTTAAAAATATCCGGGCCAGGCCTAAAAAATTTAAAACCAGGCCGGGTCGTGCAAATGGTACCTCTGCAGGTCTATATCGTTTATTTTGATTAATTATAAAAATTAATTTCTATATTTAAATAAATTCGGGCCGGGCCGGTAAATTTTTTCAAAAAATGTTTTGGGTTCGGGCTGGGTAAAACTTTTTTAAAAAATTTCGGGCCTATCTTGAAAAATTAGGCCCGATGCAGATCACTAATATGAATATTTTGATAAACATAAGAAAGTTATGATTTTTTATAACTAGTCATTCCAATATGTGGAGCTGAGATATTTCTGAGGTTAATCCTAAAATGTACTCAGCCCATGTGACCAAAAATTAACTAAAAATTTTATTACTTGGATTACATATATTTACTGGTTTATTTCTTATTTTATCGTGATTGTTGATTAAAAGTATAGTTCTGTTATTTCTTTTAATAGATAGATCATCATTTCTTTAAAATTTGTAATTAAACGCGTTACTCACCCTTCTTCCCATCCAGCCTAAGACCCGTGTACCATATTATATGAGCTATGCATTTTTTAAAAATATTTAAACCTTTATTTTATTATGTAAGATATAATATGCCTAAAACATCTATATTCTATATCTAGTAGTTTTATAAACTATTCTTGTTTTATTATTTACGTTAAACTCAAAAATCAAAACTAATAAAGACAACTCTTTGGCAAGAGAGCAAAGGTAGGCTTAGGCTCTTAGCTCTACCGCCTACTAGCAACAATTTTCAATTTACTACTAAGCGACGTTCCAATAGTTCCATTATCAACGAATTTTCCAAAAACTACATAAACAATCACAAACATTTTATTGGTAGTTGTGATAGTATAATGTACAAAGATGATGATGAAAATGATATAGATTACTTTTTCTATGATTCTCCGGAAGATTTCAGTGATAATTACGATGTAAAAAAAAATTATTCAATCATCTCTACTCGCAGCAAAGGAGATGCCATGAACAACGATAACAAGCACAAGAACAATGGTAAGTTCAGGAATAGGGTTATTCAGCGTTTGGCCGATACTTCTAACAATTTATTATGATTACAATGATTTCTTATAAAAAGAGGGGGGGGGGAGGTGATTTATTTAACCCTTACAAGTCTCTCAATTATAGTGTTTTTTTAAAACAGCTAGACAATAATTGGATCTTTCGAACAGGCATTAATCACAGTATTAAATAATAATGAGTTAATTTAATTTACATGCCTTTAAAAAATTATCATGTTATCCCACAATGATCCCTCTATTTAAATATTACTATACTCTATTACATCTTTTGGAAATGTATATTCTATATAAATCTCCTGCTACCCATGCTTATGGATATACTATTTTTATACTGAATTATTTTTGGTCTATTTAGGAACTATGGAATATATGTATTATTTATATCGACGTTATTCAAATTTGTGAGAAATTCGATGACCATGCATATTATATTATTTTTGATATCCCCCAATTATATTTTTAAAAAAAAATATTTGATTTTTTTTACTGACTTTTATAATATTTTATATAATACTTTGATTTTTTCCCCGAACTTTTGACCCCATTTATTTAATCCTGTTTTTTATCATTTAAAGCAAAGGGAAATTTTGCACAGAATTTATACATTGGCTATTAAAACATGAAATGTTTGTTTTTACACAAATAAAAATAAAATTTTTTTTAATATATCTAATTCTTAAATGTGCTTTTTATTAATTAGAGTTCTAATGTTGGAAGAGAAATTATAGGAAAAATTATGCATTTAGAGTTATGACTTTAAACCCTATAGTTATTTTATTTCCTTTTTCTTTTATTGGATGATGGGAAGAGGGTGAATGAAAAATTAGCTCCAAATTTCTTATAAAGGTTAGATTTTCTTAATATCTCGATACCACGGTGATTGATAAGATAAGTTAACTTTTCGAACATCATTAAAAAAAGTTAAAAACAAGATAATTCATTCAAAATTTTGACACTGATCTCTTCTAAAATATTTTCCAAATCTTCACCATCTTCATTTATTAGATTGATATATAAAATTGACCTATTATTAAGCATAGGCAAAACAAAATTATTAAAAAATTTGACACTGTTTCTTCCTAAACCTTTACTATTTCCTTAATACTTAGTAGATAGATAAGACACTAAGTTGTCATGTGGAGTTCTCTTGCATAAAGGAAATGATTAATTCATAAATTAACACTGAGTCTTCCAAAAAAAAAATTATAACTTTTATTCTATCATTCATATACCTTATTGTTTAGTATGATTCAAAATTAAATATAAGTTATAATTTTTTTGCAAAATAAAATAGGAGGATCAGCCAACAACGTCGCACTTTTTAGAAAATACCTGAAAAATATTTGAAATTTAACTTTATATAATAAAATGAAATTATAATGATAATTTGATGCAATTCCTGAACCTTTTTATAGGTCCTAAAACAATATCGAATCTATGTCATGCATTATAGGAGCCATCTGTAATATTTTTTAATATATTTTAAGATATAATATCTTATATTTATATAACCTTACTTATCTCGTTAAAATTTAATAATAAAAAATTTTAAGAAAAGAGTGCTCTCTGATAGAAAATTACGAGCGCTCTCTGATTGTCTTTGTATATTACATTAAATTATGCATTTAAATAATTCACAAAAATCGGTTCAGCAATCCTTGGTCTCTACTTAACATTCATAAAAGGAGATAGTGATTAATGATAATATGATTGATGTCTTTTGATCCTCATAGTATTTCCTCCCACCTTACAATAATTTTTTAGTGTTTTTCTAAACATTCTTTATGCTATATTTAAATGTGTATACTTGACAATTAAATCATCATTAATAAAAGCGAAAAAAAATATTGGGTTTTAGAAAAATTCATCTAGGCAAAATCAAATTTCTGGGGCTAAAAGGCGGAACACGTGGAAGGGGGGTGGGCGGTTTTGTAAAAGTATACTGAATTCTATAGATTATAAATTTCCTCTTGATGGATTTGGGATGATTTCAAATTGCTACAACAATCGCATTCTTACCAAAGAATTATAGATTTTACTATTGGCTGTGTCCAAAATCATTAAAACAAATTCGAAAAGTTCTAAAACTTTTGCTTTAGAGTTGTTAAAAGATACTTTTCCAATCGATCTAGATACCGGTACAACTAAAAAAAATCTAGTATTTTAATACTAATATGTGTGCATAATGCTTAATTTAGGATTCTATTGTTAAAATTCAAATTTCTGAGCTAAAAAATTTATTGAGCTGATATCACATCTATGCAAATATAATTAAAATAATTGTTAGATTTTAATAATTCATACACAAAATTTATTTTATTCATTTAAAAAATTATTTCAACTACATTTGCAATATATTTTCATCCTTATATAGCTTGTAAAAATCAATTTAATAATTTACATAAACGAAAAATCAATTTAATTTATATAAACGAAAAATTAATTTAAATTAAACTATTGAGTTAATAATATAAAATGAGGTAGCAAGGTTTGTATTAAGTATAACAAAAAAGAAATATATATATAAAAAAATTAATCAGGTCAAATACGCCATTTTTCGTGTGAATTTGATATAGCATGTTACTTTCTTTTTTAACTATAACGCCTTCACCCCATTAATTTACTCTAAAACTTTTATACCAAATTTTTCCAATATCCATAATTCTATTTTTTGGTAAAGCTGTGAGTAAAATGTTGTTGTTTTTTTTTATACTTTAGAAAATCTCAATTAGTTCTCATATCATGATTGAACATAAGTTTTCTTGGTGGGATACCAGTCGTACTTTTAGGCGTGTTTCTGTAGTTGAACAAAAATTTTTCAAGAGCGATATCTATATCTATATTGTTTTGCTCCATACACTTTTTCATGTGTGATTTGAAAGTTCTCACCATCCTTTCAACTTGCCCATTTGACTGTTGATGGTGGGCTGAAGTCTGAAAGTGAAGTATATCATGGTCTCTACAAAATTTTTTAAACAGTTGACTTGTAAAGTTTGAGCCATTATCAGAAACTATTTGTTCTGGAATACCAAATAAGCTAATTATTTTCATCAATTCTTTTGTGAATTCCGCACTTATTGAATTCACCGGCGTGATTATAGGAAACTTACTGTAAGCATCTACTATAAGCAACCAGTATTTGTTAAAAAATAGCTCAGCGTAGTTAATGTGTATTCTTTCGAATGGCTTCGTCGTTAACATCCAAGAATGCTGTGTGTTAATGGGATTATCGGCCCAAATGTATGATTTGCATTCTTTTATTTCGTTATCAATATCATTGCAGGCCACCAAAGGTATTCTTTAGCTAAATGTTTGGTTTTGCCGGCAACCAAGTGTCCTTCGTGTAAATGTTGTAGTATTGATTTTCTTAAAATTTTCGGTATGATTTTATTTTCTTTAAATAGACAATTTCCCATAATACATAATTCCTTCAGCATATTGTTATATGTTTTATTTTTTATCGTGTCACCGTTTCTAATATCGATTATTATTTCCATTAATTCTCTGTCGTTAGAAGTTTCTTTTTCGATCATTTTAAAGATAATTGATACGTCCCATAAATCATTATTTTCTTTTATATCATCCACAATATGTATTTCTTCTTCAGGTTTATTATTTAATTTTAACTTGCAATTGGATATCAACTCCGCCAAATCGTCTTTATGATCCATATCAATCATGCCTATGAATTATTTCAAGTATATTTTTAAAATGTTTTAACCATGATCTTTCTAGTAAAGGCATCATGTTACTGTTTACGATTAATGCATCTAAAATTTGAGAATTCTCTTCGTATTCTACATTTACTCGAGCTCTGCCTATCACTTGTATCGTCTTGCAGTTGTAACCTGATAACTGTATGCTGGACTTGGTAATGTTTTTTATTCCTATTTTCTCAATCATATACTCTGGTAGAATTGTAAATCTCGTGCCAGTATCTACTTGTAGTGAAGTTAAGACGTTATTAATTTTGATGTTCACCATATATGTATAATCTTTAATATTTTGAACTTCGTTTTCTACGTTATTTATATCAATATTTAATAAATTATAATCTTATTGTTTGATATGATTTTGTCGTCTTCGATCTCTTCTATATTAACTGTATTGATTTTATTTAAATAAGGCGCTTGATGTCTAGGATTATGAGTCATGTAATTTTTAATGTCACGATCGTAAAATTGTTGATGCATGTTGGATCTATTATAACCTCTAAAATTTTGTACGGTTGTCTGTTGTCAAATCTGGTGTGATATTTGAAATCATTAAAAGGCTTGTAATTATCATTATATCCATAATTGTTATTATTAAATCTATTATTGTTATCTCTTGTGTCGTGTTTATTGAAAGGAATATACGGAGTTTCCCATCTATTTTGATCATGAAATCTGTCATAGTTTCGTCTTGAAAATGATAGTTATTTTGGTTGTTAAATCTTTGGTTGCCATAATATGGTCGAGTCTGCAATGGTTGTCTAAACTAATGTTTGTAATAATTATCATAATGTCTATTGCTCTCAGTATATGGCATCATCTGGGTATTGTCATATCTAGTATTAGTTGGTTTTTATTCGTAAACTTTCTTATCTTTTCTTACTCCCTTCAAATGTTTTAGATCAGAGTATGTTTTGTCTTTGATAACAATCTTATGTATAAATGTTTAAATGTCAGTTTCGTCTAACTCTTTGCCTATCTTAATAATGTCATCTAAAATGAGTAAATCTTTGATTCTGTATTTAATTTCCTTAGATGAGCTTGATACCTTTATTTTTTCTAAAACCCTGTCGTATGTCGTATCCGATAAAATTGCAGTCCATATAAAGCTGACAAATACGGGTAACCCAATCTAAAAAACTTTCGCTCTCTTTTTGAATCGCTGCATTGGATTCACTAATTTTTTTGTTTCGAATCTTGGCAGGCTGTAATAATCTAAGTTTGTTGATAAGTGTCGATGATTTCTTGAGATCGGATTCAGTGCATATCGATTGTAGTTTAGAAAATATGTCATCTGGTAAATTATGTAGTAAGGTCCTGGCGTTATCGTCATCTGTGCTGTTATTATTTTTAAAAATAAGTTTAATTTTAGTTAAATGTGTTTCAATGTTTTTTATATATTTAAGAAATTCGCATTTATATAATATAGTATCATTAGAAACAGTGGGGTTTTGTATCGTCCACCATATTTAATTGTAAAAAAAAAATTTTTTATTCTTATTTATTTATTTTTAGAAATGTGAAATAATTAATATGAAATTCATCTTTATATTTTAATAAAATTTTAATTTACAAAAAAGATAGCTGCTGCCACCATGTTAAGGTTGGTAGGGAGAAAAACAAAATTAAGAAAGTATTTTAAAATTTTATTTATATTTATTTAAAAAATTATTTCAACTACAAATGCAATATATTTTCATCCTTATATAGCTTGTATCAATTTATATAAACGAAAAATCAATAATTAACTAATTTATATTAACAAAAAATTAATTTAAAAAACTATTGAGTTAATATTATAAAATGAGTCCGCAATGTATTAAGTTAATATATAACAAAAAAGAAATATATGTATATAAATTAATCAGGTCATCTCAACAATTACCCAAGCAACAAATTTTGAAAATAATGATTATCAGAAAAATGTAATCAATATTTTAAATGATACCCATCAAGCCAATTTTAATATTCAACAACTTCAGAACAAGGATATCAAAAAGAAATATTCTTTTAGACATGGAGAATTTACAAAAAATAAATTTAACAGCAGATTTATTTTTCTTATATTTATGATTAATTATTTAACATAATCACCTATAATTTTTCAAATAAAATTTTTACTTTGTATGATTTATAATACATATTCATTCAAGTTATTATAATTTTTTGCACAGATAAGTATATTTATTATAGTATAATTTGTAATTATACATTTATTTTATATAATTTTTTTTTTATTTGTAAATTTTTATTAACATAGTTTATAATATTAAAATTAACATATCTAATATAAAATAAACATTATAAAAACGGAGGTGGGACTACAAAGTTCCCAAAAAAACATGAATAGTTATATTTTAAAATAGATAATATTTATACACAACGATTTGTAAAAATATGAATTTACAGTATGGCAAGATAAACTTTTAAACATTTCAAAATATATGTGCACATTTATAAAATAAAAAGATGAATAATTTTTATTAAATTAATTGATTTAAAATAATTTGTAATTAATGCCTGGGTTGAATCAGGTGCACTTTCTGCACTATTATTTATAAATAACAATAAACCTTCCAATTCTAATCTAATTTGGTTACAAATATCCTGATCATCTAATGTCATGGCAACTTGCAGTATCATATATTTAATTTATCAATAACTTCTGCCTTTTGTTTAAGTGTGTTGAATAATGATTATTCTTTATTTTATTTTGTGAAAAATATTTATTTAACTATTCTTTTAATATGTACTTTTTATTTTATTTCGCCTTGATTATTTCGTAAGTTAACTTGTAAAAAAACACTTATTTAACTAGTTCTTTTAATGAACTTTTTATTTTATTTCGCCTTGATTATTTTGTAAGTTAACTTTTGTAAAAAAACACTTATTTAACTAGTTCTTTTAATATGTACTTTTTATTTTATTTCGCCTTGATTGTTAACTTTTTATAAGTTAGTTTTTTTTATATTCTAATTTTTGTATAAAAAAAATATATGTTGTAAATGCTTGAAAAGATAGATATAGATATTAAAATAAATATTATTTTTGCATGGTACCCCGGGTGATATGGTAAAAAAAACTCACCATAATCCTTTATATTTTATATTTTTTTGAATTTTTTTCTCTTCCATTTTTTTTATAATGGTGAGATTTAATATTTAACATGCAAAAACATTAAATAAAAAAAAATTTTTTTTTTCCTACTATAAAAAGTTAAAAACTTTTAATAACATATATAAAAAATTTTCATGTATTCGTTTAAAATAACTAATATTCCATCCTCGGTCTCGGTATATGACATTTTGTGGGAGCTTACCGATAATTGTGATGTACAATATACGAGAGGACCCGTTCATGGAGACATATTCTTCGAGTTTTATAACTTGAAGGAGATGTTAAGTTACTATGAGGCCTTAAATGCCAAGTTTTTTGCATACAATGATTCCGAATTCGTGCAAATTGGATGCACATTTGTGAAGATTTGAACATCATCATTTTTTATATTACGAAAAAACACATTAACATTTTTGTTTAAGATATATTATGTTAATGTAATATTTTATAAAAGATAATAATAAATGGATATAAAATTACCTAATTACACACCTTATAAGTTTCCGAAGCTTATTGGACCACTGACTGTGGTTTATATAGAAAGGGTACTTGACTACCTTTCGACCAGCACATCATCGGACTCCGTTAAAATAAATACTTTACTTGCTTATTTTTCTGATGACGTGTTTGACAATATTAAATCTATTTGTTCAAATACTGAGATCTTAATATAGTGATTAAGGATACCTTTTACCAATACAGGATAAAAATATTTCAATTAACAAATTTATTTATCATGTCAGAATTCTAAATAATTTTTTTTAGAATGGTACGTTAGAGTATCTAAATTAAATAAAAAACGTCATTTTTCAGATGATAGTAGAATAAAAGAAAAGTTAAGAACGTCTACCTGAAACGATAAAATAAATATAAATTAAGTAAAAATTAATTTAACCTTAAATGACATGGTGGAGATAGGAAGTAGATTAGATAGCGTTAATAATAAATCAGATATTGATAATATGTGAATTACGATGAAAAGTCCGATAAAGATAAAAAGTTTAACGTTAAAAATAATGAGCACAAAGATTTAGTTAACCAAAGCTCTTCCGAAGTTTTTCTAGATATAATTGCAGGAATGACAATAATCATTATTTTAGACCTAATAAAAATTTTAGAAATAATTTTAGACAAAATTATGATAATAGAGATAATAATTATATAGGAATAGAAATAGGAATTAGGATAATAATAATTTTAGATACTATGATAGGAATTACGGTAATAATAATTCTAGATACCATGATAATTATAATAACTATAACTACAACAACTATCGCTAAAACAATAATAATCAATCTAATTACGGTAGAAATGATATATGGCATGATAATAATCAGAGGAAACAGATCCAATATGGTGATCGAAATCGTAATAATTACCAATCCTAATGATAAAGATAATGCATTTATGACTACTTTAAAAGTAAATGATATTATAACAACTATGCAAGTAGACACGGGTTCCAAATACACCATTATACCTCATGATTTGGCTAAAAACTTGGTATTAGAGATGTTAAAAGATTTGAGTTACAACTTACCGCCTATGTATGACGGAAATTTACTTAAGATCATTGGCATTACGCAAGTTAAAGTGACTTATGAAGGTATCTTAACTGGTGGAGGCAATTTATCCAATGTTTTGTATTATTCCATATGTGCCTTAAAAAAGATTATCTAATCTATCATCTCATAAAATAATTTCCCAAAGGGCCAAAACATTACTAGCCTATTCTTGTTTTATATTAATTTATATGATAATTAATTTTGATTTAATAATCTGGTCGTTATTTAGAAAATGGCTTAATCTTAAATCGACATTCATTCTCTTAATTATTTTCAAAAAAAATCAAAAAATGCTTTTTTTCTTTTTATTATTAATTTTTTTACTCATTATTATGTATATATATAAAAAATATAAATTTATAGAGAATTTAAACAAACAATACCCATTTCCATCATATTTTTATGGTAAAACTATAGTTATTACAGGAGCTAATTCAGGATTAGGGGAAGGTATGTTTAGATGTAGGTTGCTTTACAATTGTATTTTTATTTATAAAGCATTATCATTTCTATCAGCAAAATATGGAGCAAAAGTGGTAATGTCTGGTAGAAATATGGAAAATTTAGAAAAAGCAAGACAAAAAATAATTGCAAATTTACCAGTAATTTAAAGTTTTTAGTTAACCCCTTGAATACTCTACTGGGTATGGAGTTAACTTTTTCTTGTCAATTATTTTTTTTTTGTGTTATACAGTAGTTTTTTATGTAATGTCTTTATTTTGAGTAGTAGAAATGTATCCTTTTAGTTAATAAGTTATTTTTATCCTAGTTTTTCTTTGTGTTTTTAAAATTTTTTAGGCGAAGTATTTATTATTATATGAAAAGATTCTTTGCAAGTTGCCAAAACAACAAAAACATATGCTTACATATCATATCATCAAATATAATATATGCCAAAATGATTGAAATAAATTTTCTAAATCAATTTCTAATAAATTGTTAAATTTAGTATACATAAACATAATTTTACTATGAGAATAAATATAGTGATATAATATTATTCAATAAATGGGTAATAAGTCTATTTGCTAATAATGACAAAGGAAATAAGAGGTTTTCACAATTGCAAGTTGCAAAAACAAAAAAAAAACTTTTAATTTATAGGATTCTGAATGTAATGAAAACTCTTTATCATTTGATATTCATATCTTATTTTGAGTGCCAAAAATATATGATTATTAAAAATTCTGGACTAGACTGATTTTTAAAAAATAAATTAAATTATTCTGTTGGAAAATCATATAATTGAATACAATATATATAACTTCTTGACACAAATTGTAAAATATAACCAAAATGATAAAATTATTAAAATTTTAAGCTAGGCTGTAAGATGTTCAAAAAATTATTTTGATCTCTGCCTATCTCTCATACCTATTAAATCATATTATCAAAGATGATACCACTTCTGTTTTAACCAATACTGGTATTGGGCCAATACCTATACACTACTAACAATATTTACCTCATTTTTATTTAAAAAATTTTTATTTGTAGTTTTGTTATATTGACATTAGATTTCAAGGTTAATACAATTTTTTTGAAAACCAAGAGAGATGTAGTAAAATTGAGGGATTAAATATATCGTTAATTTTATTTTCCATATTTAATTTGAATTCAAATCATAGGTCACAATTCATTTTCCCTATAAATTTATTGCCATGCCAAAATCTTATATTATTTCTAGAATTTTATATGGTTCTATACTTTTTGCATCTAAAACGTTCAATGATATGATAAATATAACTTCCTCCTTTCTTTTTTCCTTTGATTTCTCTGAGCAATGAGAAAAATTTCTTTTTGATTTCTAAATTCATGATGGTCCCACCAAACTATCATATATAAAACAATTTAAAAACAGTCTAAAGAACATTACCAATCATTGTAATGATTCAAAGATAAACTATTAATCCCTTTAAGGTAAAATCAACCTTGTTAAAAAGTAAATTAACAACTTAGATAGAAGTCAAGAATAACATCTTTACCTTTCAAATCGCTTATCACTTTGAGGGTTTAAAACCAGAGATGTGAACATTTCAACAAAATAAAGGTCCGGGTTTGAAGAATATGTGAAAAATATATTTATAAATAGCACAGTTTTTTTTTCATTTATTTATTTATTATTCTACTTCATATAAACAGTTTACTAGCAAGAATTAATTTATATTTTAATTTCAATGTTTTATTTAATTGAACAATTATAACATGTTCCAAAATATTTCTACACAAATCTGACAATATAAAGGAACATAATTGCTCGTATTTTAAATTTGAATTGAATATCTATCGATTACTTTATTGATTGTATGTTTTTGTTACAATATTTTACTTTCTAAATATGATATAAAAACAAGATAAGCAGCCAAGTTGTAAAGCCCTACTTTTAAAAGTAGCGCACTACCGCTATTGCTATTTGTCAAAAAAAGTAGCACGCTACCGCTATCCATCAAAAAAGGTAGTGCATTATTGGTTATTATTTTTTAAAAGTAGTCCTGGCTACTATTCTTTAAAAGTAGGTTTGGCTACATTTTGTAAAAAAAAATTAGAAATAAATTTGTTTTATTTTTTGCTTATAATGTAATTGTATAGTATACAATCCATAAAAATCAACTTAAATATAGTTAGTTTTGATTTAAAAATTTATATAAAAAACTATATTTTATGTAATAAACTAAATTTTATGTAATAAACTATATTTATTAGTAATATTCATTTTTTTATTTATTTTGTTGCATTTTAATAATAAAATCATTTCTATACTATCATTCCCAATCCTAAGTCTAGAGCGACGATCAGAAAGTATAAGTTTCGCCTAATTAAATAATCTCTCAACACTAGCATTTGAGGACAAGGTAGTATTTAATTTTATATACATATTTTTAATATAAGAAAAATTATCAAAAATACTCATTTGAGTATTTATAGAATTAAAAATCGCGTCTAGAGGATTCGTTTTTGTGGTTGTAGGGCATCTTTGTTTGATATGAGACTATTCAGCTTTACCATTAGCCTGTTATCACGTTGATCTTTAGCATCATCGGAATTGAGATATAGTCAGTTTAGTTTAAAATTGAGATGAATCATAAATTTTATTTGCAAGTACATCGTATGTCTGGCATCCTATTATCCTTTTGAGGGCTAATGCTACAGGTATTCTTTTAAAGTCTTAGAGTCTAGCCAATGGTCTCTGATTTCCAAATAAGCTCTAAAAATATTAATATCAGATCAATTTATAAATATAAATAAGTTTTTACCTTCTGTTATATGTCTAAATATCTGGCGTACATATATAGAATATCTCTGACAACTCTTCTATTAGAGCATCTTTCATCACTTCAAAGTTATCTGCTATTATAATAATTAGTGTCTGGTGGCATAAAATAGGGAATAGAGTTTTAATCATCATGATAAATAATGGATTATTAACCAAGTACTTTGGTTGAGCTGTATCATTTATAAAATCGACAATGACTTTATCAGCCAGTATCTAAGAAGTATTGGTATATATTATTAATGAATTTAGCTTGAATTGAATTGGTCTTTTTGGATGTAGTCTCCCCTAGAGGTCTGCATTGGGCGCCCACCCAATGTTTTAAAAATTATTTTTAACCCGTTCTCTTGCCCGCCCATAATTTGCAAAAAATATACCCTAGTCTAAAAATTTTACCCGCCCGCCCATTATTTATAAAATTTTTTAGCCCAAGCCCGTTATTATAAAATTTAATTATGGCCTTTCTTTCAATTTTTTTAAGCATCTAATAAAATAATAATTCAGTTTCAGCATTACACTCTGCAAAAGTTTTATAATTTAAAATAAAACATACAATGCAGAAATATTTATAAGGAAATTTTAAATTTATCCAAAAAAGTTTATTTATTTTAAGAAAAAAGTTTTACATTACCATAAAAGGAAATTTTAAATTTTAAAATACAAAAATAGTTATTTATTTTCAGAAAAAAGTTTTAATGATATCAAAAAAGGACATTTTAATTTTTAATTTCCAAAAGAGTTCATAAGAACAATTTTTTATTAATGTTTACTTAAATGATTTTAAATATCAAAAATTTAAATTATTTTTAACCTGCCCGCCTGCCCTTTCTTTAAATTTTTTTAGCCCGCTATCCCACTTAAATGGGCGGGCAGAAAACCAGCTTATTGCAGACCTCTAGTCTCCCTTATACTAAAATTATTACGATGTTTTTTATCTCTTTAAAATTGTTTGCATGAACATTCTTATAAAATAAATACTATTAGAATTTAAAAATAAGTGTTTTTTGAAGTTATAGCTACAAGATTTCTTTGAGGATATATTTATTTTACATTATAAACAAATAAATTTGTAGCTACTAACAAGAAAATTGAAACTTCAAATAAAAAAGATGAACTTCACAATAAAAAAAACTGATACCTAATAATAAAACCCTAAAACTTTCTCTGAATCACAACTTTTTTGAATATTTTATTTCTTCAAATAATCTTCGACAAAGAAATATATATCATAATTCCAAAACGTAAATTTAAAAGTGTACAATTTTACAAAAAAAATTCAAAAGTAATATCTTCTTAAAAGTAAAAATTAATAATTTTTAAAACTTAAATTCTAAAAAAAATCAAAATATTTTTCAAAAAGTGAGGAAAAAATTAATTATCATTTTTCAAAATTTTAATAATAATTGTTTTATAAAAAAAAATAAGAACATTTTTAAAAAAAATTGATTAACCAATCTCCTGATTGACATTATATATATATATATAATTATTTATATAAAAATGATACCCACGATGACAGCTACCTTTTGTTTTTACATTATTTTGGAAATGGAAAATGTGTATTATTGTTATTAAGAACTTTTTCTTCCAGGGTACCTTCCATATTAATATCATCATTGTCTGACTCACTTACATCTATTTGGATATCCATTTGCGATGATATTTTAAATAATTTACACCAGATGATTTAGGTTTATAATACAAATTTAAATTTAAAAATTAAATAATAATTCATAAAAATTATAATATTATATTTAAATTTTCATGTTTATAGTTATATTCATTATATTTTTTAGAGCATAAAAAATTAATAATTGGGAAAAAAGTAGCGCGCTATTAGCTATCGTTACCAAAAAAGATAGCGTGCTACATTAGAACGCTACTTTAACAACTCTGAAAGCAGTATATTCTTATATCAAATTTTTATTTATCATAAAATTGTACTTACAAAATGGAGGCAAAAAACTATTTTGAAAAATGCGAGGAAAATGATTTATTTATAAAATTTATTATTTAGGAAATTTTTAATTTTTTGGATATCTTAATCCTCAAATTTTGAAATGGTCCGAGTACAACAAAAGCATGAGAGTTCGGGATCTCATCCTGTTTAAGACCTATATATATTTAAGACTTAACCTCAATATTAAACTAGAAATTTATTTTGATTTCTAAGATAGCTATTCTCTGTAATAGAATCTTACATAAGAATGGGGAATTTTGACTCGACATATTCGTTTTGGGGACTAACTTAATGTTCTCACTTAACCTAAAAAAGATCTGCGCCCAAATACCATTTACACTTACTTCTGAGATTTGTTTTTTAAACTGTTT